TGGAGCAAGGGATCCTATCAACTACAGCAGTGGTGGGATTCAAAAATATTTACTACCAGTTCTGTGGGCGTGGCTTGGTTTGGTGGTTGTGGCAGGGGGGAGGATACTGTAAAATCTCCCTTCCCTTCCCGCTCCAGAGGAAAATTTCTGCAAAATCCCCATTTCCTCCCGATCAGCTCAGACTCGGGAGGCAGAGAATAGATAGGAGCGGGGCTAGTCAGAGGTGGTTTTCCGAACTACTCAAAATTTCCGCTACCGGTTCTCCAGAAGTGGTCAGAACCTGCTGAATACCACCTCTGAACAACAGCCTTCCTGGTAATTAAATGTAACTGATCTAAATGTTACAGGATCCCGAATCTTGATGCATCACTATTACAGAACCTGGTAATTTTGTGGAACAGCACTGTATGTCCTCGTCATACCATGCCATCGTCTTCTCATGCTGCTTTGCACAAGGTAAGGTGGTTATGGAGCTATAGGTTAGCAAAGGAGATTCACTCACGTCCAGTGTCTGTTACCTCCAATTCTTCCACTTGGGAGGTCACAATTTTAAAGACACTCTTCAGAATGCTGCGCAGGTCACTTGCAAAATTAGTTTGGAGCTGGTCTGCCACTCCTGCCAAAACACAGCATTTTGAGCATTTCACTTGCATATGGGAAGGGGATCATGGCAGACTTTGGTACAAAAGACTCCTTTCATAATAAAACAAAATACACAATAAGCAAATATTTTTATTTGAATGTCATTGATACAAAATGCTCTGTTTTTATTACATTATCTGAAACAGAGCAGACTTTTAAACATCTAAATAGTTCAGCATGTTAGAAAAGAAAAATGATTTAAATAAATACACTTAAAGATTATTTGGGGTCTAACCAGAAAGTCAGCACGATGCCTAACATTAGCTGAGATGTATCCAATTCTAACATATTAAGCCAGCTATTCTCAACCCCAGTATTGCCATTTAGGAGTAGTACTAGCCATTCTTACAAGATGATTGTAAAAGATTTCTAAACTAAAGTAAAAAATAAAATATAATACTAGTAAGAACAAATGAAACAAATCCCTTTTATAAGCAGCAAGTAACTGGGCGCATTGTTCTAACATACAGTACCAAATATGGATCTGCCCAATTTTATTTTCCTAACATGATTAAGGTTACTTGTAGGCTAAGCCTTGGTTTTTTGGAACTTTGCTTCATTTTAGTAAGACTTTCAGTTTTTTTCTTCTCTCCACTAATTTTTGCAAAAAAAGCTACAAAAAGTCATAGGATCTGGAGGCATTAATCTGGTACATTGAACTTGTTCTACTGTACATTTATTTCCAAAAGGAAAAATCTCACCACTTTAATAGGCTGTATACTTGTTCTTAGCATAAATAGTTCCAAGTTACTGATCTTATCGGTAAAAATGGACCATGGTAGTGATGGATGGATTAAAGAAAACCATATCCTTAATTACTACTGACATTTCTATGTTGCTCCACCCTAAATGATTGTGAGTGGCTTACAGCAAAATACCCTTATTTAATCATTACTTTGCCAACTGTTAGACAAAAACTAATAGCTATAGAATGCTATGGAATACAATCAATGGAGCACTCACCAGAAATACAGACAAATAATGTGTGAATCATGTCCTCTATATTGCGGTAACGGCCTCGTAATTCCAACCCTCGGGAGTTCAGTGGAATACCTGTGAACATTCCTCTCTGAGCACTATCAGATTCCTGCACAAAAGGCCTGTTAAGAGGAGAACAAGCCTTTAGAAAAAATGTAAAGAGCTTATTTTTATTATTGCATTTCAACCGTACCCTCCCTTAAAAATCTGTATGCCAATCAAGGAACTACTGAAATAGTTATGCACACACAGTGTCTCTGCTTTAGCTTGGGGACAAATGAAAATATCAACTCTTTACATATTTTTTAGGAAAGAGAAACAGGACCACATGAGACTGCAAGATATAAGATTACGGATCAAAGAGGCTTCAGTCTGTGGCTTCTCTCTCTGACAGCTTCTGTTATCCATCTACCCCTTTCATCTCAAGTAGTTAATACTGGACAAAAACTTCCCATTTAATTGCATATTACAAAGTATGTCCTGGTCCTGACCTTTTGATGGCCACAAAAGACCTTCTCAGCAAGCTGTATATGAATATCACTCCCAATTTATAAGCTGAAGATAGGCAACCCCACATTTAAATGGGTGGGTGGAGACTGCAGGGGAGGAGAAAGTTCTTAGTCACACCTTGGTACAGATGGGCAGGCACACTGAGATGCAAAGCCCTGGAGGTCTGGAGAGTCCCTATTACTGCAGGGCTGTGAATCTGCAGTGCATTCATTCAGCACACGTTTCTCCAGCTTGTACAGCTCCTCCTTGGAAAGCACACGCAGCAAATCCCTGTAAGAGGAAGGGTCCATGAAGGAAACATCAGTGGCAACAAAATTAAGTGATTCTAATCTACAGGATGGACAGCTGTGTTGCAACAACACAACACAGGAATGTCCTAAGGCTGCTTTTTCAAGAGGCAACTGGATTGTCTGGTTTTTCTTTGAAGACGTTTTGCTTCTCATCCAAGAAGCTTCTTCAACTCTGACTGGATAGTGGGGAATGGAAGGATTTATAAATGTATAAATGCTTCCATTCCCCACCATCTAGTCATAGCTCACCTCAAAAACATATTTGGGACAACCATGACCTGGATGACTGGGAATCTCCATAGGCATTGGAAGGAATTGTTGCTCCAAATTGCCCATACCATATGGTATGATGTAAAAANTCTTCATTCAATGTGGCCCAGGCAAGCCAAAAAGGTTGGATCTGCCTGGTCTAATGTAAAGATATATTAGAAGCCAAATTTATTGTATTTAATTAATGGTAAAGGAAGGGCTGCACTAACACAACTTTTAAACATACAATTGTAAACAGGTTGTGCAATGAACATGTAGAATCAAGTACCTTCTTTTCTTCTCACCTGGACATTGTTTTTTCAAAATTTGAATGGGATGAGTTTGCTTATAATATGCCATATTTTTCAGTGAAAAATGTTCTCATGCAGCTGCAGTATGAGAAACTGTAAATCTGAAATAAGATGGTACCTTAATAGATATGCATTTGCATGTCTGAATATTTGGGGGCATATTACAGTTTATACTCTGTTCCAATGGCATTTTTCTTTTACTGGTTTAAACATAGCCATTATCAGGCCCAAGCCCAAATGTAACATAGCAAAATTTAATCCAATCCAATCTTTTATTTACACCTAATGGACTAAATCTTACCAAATTAAAGCTATAACTCTCTACTTTACTAGATATATCCTAAGAGATTCTAGGTAGGAAGTGGCTACACTGAACTTCTTCCTCCTTCCCCCCATCCAAGGGGCAATTCTGGCCTGTCTGATAAGATTTACTGCCCCTTTCCTGGGAAAGCTCTGTTTTCCCAAACTCCTATCCATCAATTCTCCAGATCAGACATGAGCATTTTACTGCTCTGGGCCACATCCGGCCCTTTGCCTGTCTGTTTGGCCTGCATGAGGTCAATTGGAAATTAGAAAATAAAATGTAAATAAGCCAACTGCAGGAGGTGGGAGAAGCAGCAGACTGCACTCCTTTAATTGGATGGAGAAAGAAAAGCTTTTCTGAGTGGCAGAATGTGGCTGGGTTGAAGCAAAATGAGGCTGTGCACTCCCTCCTCCCAGCAGCAGAATTAAGTTCAACCTATTGATTTGGCCCTTCAGGACAGTCCGTTTCTCATGTGGTGGCCCCTTGCCCATCCCTGCTCCAGGTGCACATCCCATCATAACCTTGCACTCTGATTTCTAATTTGCGAATGAATTTGTAGATGATTATGGCTTGAATATTTTTAAAGACTTATTTGGACCCGAGTTATAAATTCCATTTTTTAAAAACTGGAGTGACACCACTTTGTTGCATATCAGCAATGCAGTTAGTGGGGTAATCATCAGAAAACGGGGAAATTTTATGATTATTATGAACAAATTGAGCACATCTTAGGCAAGAAAGACGAGCAAAGGAAAGATTATTGAAATGCTGATTTACATGTTATTGTTAATAGAGATCTATGTATTACTTCAGTCAATAATGTTACATAGCGTTTTTATAATATTCAAGTATGAAAATGTCAAAATCTCTTCCCATGCTAGGCAGGTGGTTTAAGTTCACCTTTAAGCTTCTCCAGGATGACTAATGGGCTGGAAGGCATGCATACGTCTTGTGTGCAGTTAATAAATGCTGATACTTGCTATTCAACTGACATCAAAGAGATTATCTAGCACATAAAGAACCAGAGCCAAAACCAGTCACCCACATTTACACAAGCTGATAAATACACAAAATCTTCTGGTTGAAATGAGGTGGGAAAATAAAAAAAGCACAGCAACAAGATTTGTAGAGTCTGTATTTGCAGCAGCAGATTCTTTCTGTCAACACCCAACAGCAACCAAACAGCTAAATCCAGAAAAAAACAATTATTTTGAATTCAGAATACACAAAATGGCAATAGCAACAGACAGCATTTTTCAAGTAAAAAATTAGTTTATTCAAGTCAGACTTGATTTTATGCAGTTTTCTTGGCAGCAGTATGGAAATGATTTGCATTGCCTTCTTTTGGGATGGATGGATATGATAAGTAGATAAAGAGAGAGGGAGGGAGGGGGAGAGGGAGAGAGAGGGAGAGAGAGAGAATGAATCTTTTAGTGTAGCCAGGTTTGCAGGTAACTAGCTCATAAGTCATTTCAGAAAGAGTTGTATGAATCCCAGGTACTGTAGGTTTCCAAAGCATCTCCCGCAGTGTGGCAGAAGAGTTTACAAGCATACATTGCATACGAACAGTGTTGCAGCCCTTATGCACATCAAGAGCTGAAGAGCAAAAGCTCATGGCTGTTCTCCACAAATTATTGTTGGAAATCCAGGTCCTGCCTTTCCATTCCAACCAGAAGTATCCGAAAGCCCTTATTGCACATGCATCCAAATCTGGTAACACAATCTCATTTTTTGGTTAAAAACTAACCATAAGACTATACATTATTCTTAAGTTTTACCAGAAGTCAGGTAAATAGCACCAAGTAATTTCTACATGGGCCATTATTCCATTATAGAAAAAGCCAGCTTTATTAGCACATAGAAGAGTTTGTTCAGACTTCTTTAATGATAGATTCTAGTTCCCACCCCACAAATCCCAAGTTCTTTATTATAAAAATACAAGAGTTCATTTCCCCTTTTAAGAACATGGTGCTTCTTCCTCCAACCCAACTCTTGCTTGACAACCAAAAGCCCTTTGTTTCACTCCCTGGAGAATCCTAGTAAGACAAGTGTGATTGCTCCCATAATCCTTTGCTGGTGAGACAAGCTGCAATTGTCTTCCAGTTCTTGGAGTTCCTCAGGCACGAATGGAATTTGATAAAGCCCTCATCCAGAAACTGATGCTCACAGGCAACTGGCATTCTTATTTGTTGAAGGCAAGTGGGTAGTATAGCAGTGTGTACAGATGCGGACTGGCTTCAGATGCCTAAAATGGGGTAGTGCTGCCAAGTGGGATGAGCAACGAGAGCAGAAGATCTGAGAAAGATAAAAATAAAAATGTGTCCATCAAGGGCAATTTGATAACAAGTCTTGTTTGCATGAAAGAAAGTAATAATAAACCTATGTTCATGTATGTATGAACTTGAATAAATGTATGTATAACTAGAAACATCCAATGAAGCAGACTGAAGTAGAAAGGATAATAACCATGGTTTAACACCCAGTCGTAATTCAACTTAAGGCCCAACACAGGAATACCCAACAAGCTGCAATTTAATCCTTTCTTTTACACGATAGGCTTCTTTCTTACTGTTCTTAACTGCCTGGTAGCTCAGTCACCAACCCCTGAATGGACTGCCTCTTTCAGTCTGTCTCACCTGGAGATCTGCATTTCCGATCCCCCTTCCAAACACAAGAAGGATCTTTTTGGAAAGGAATCTAATTCATGAATTGAACTACGGCTCCCAGCATTCTTGACTCCTGGTTCATGTTGGGTGGATCTACCCCAAAGTAGCCTTAATCGCTTACCTTCCCACAACTTCGGCAGTGGTGCCGTCGCCGAAGAAAAGTGAAAGGCACATGGCAAGCCATACAGTGGCTAGAGGTGCTGTCTGGTACCCAGTCTGGTGGCACCGAAGTATCTGTAAAGGAACAGAAGACTAATTGGCAAGATAGTTGCATATCAGTCTTCTAAAGCCACTCAGAATCATAAACCTCCCTGTCCCCATTTTTCAAGTGTTTAGTGTCTTTATTCAAGAAAATATCCCAGAATAGTCAGGCACAGAGCTCATTAAATGGAAAAAACCCTAAATTAAGGAAGCAAAAACCTACAGAAATCCAGGGAGCTTCAGAATAGGAAATAATAATACAGCTCAGGACATCAGACTGATATGCCTCTATAAGATATCAATGGACTATGAACTATTGACAAGTGAAGCGTCGTTTATCAGATAATATATTTCCATGAGTGTGGGTGTGTACACGCATGCCTTTGAGTCAGTCTTGACTCCTGGTTACTGCCTGGACAACTCTCTGCAGTTTTCATGGCAATGTCTTTCAGAAGTGGTTTGCCATTGCCTGCTCCCTAGGGCTGAGAAAGAGAGAGAGAGAGAGATTGGCCCCAGGTCACCCAATTGGCTTTGTGTCTTAGATGGGACTAGAACTCCCAGTTTCTAGCCTGGTACTTTAACCACTACCCCAAACTGAGCCTCAGTAGTGACCCTAACTATACATAGATTATTCCTAAATATAGGAACATTTTCTCTTGCAAATATTTGTTGCACCCACTTTGAGAACAAGGTCATCAGAGGCAGAACCCTTGCTTATTAGGGGCTTGTAGAGAACCCATTGCACACTTGGAGCTCTTACCTTCTCTCCTCACACCTTCCCTGCTGCTGGAGCAGAGAGCACAGTCTGTCAAGAAAGGCGCTGTTGGTGCCATACAGAGATCCAACTCTGAAAAAGGGAAAGATAAACATGCTTTTTCAAGAGGTAACTGGACTTTCTTGTCTTGGATGACTAAGAATCTCCATAGTTATTTAGCTATGCATTTTGGGATGAACACCCTTCGAATGGTATGTATATGTATATGTAATAATTAAAGAAAAATATGCAGAGCAAGGGAAAGATGTAAGAAATAGCAAACCAAATAAATGAAAG